GGGCCCCGGCCTCCCTGAGGGGGGAAAAAGAAGGACGGGGTGCGCGCGCACCCACACGCACGCCAGGCGCCGCCACAGGTTCAGCCAGCCCACCCTGCGCATGCGCAGCTGCCCGGCCACGGGCTTGTGGGCGTGGAACCGGCCGGAGGAAGGAAAAGCAACTCAGTGGCAGCGGCGGCGTGCCCTGGCCAGACTCTGACGCATGCGCCTTGGGCCGGGCTCTTTTATTCCCTCCGCCGGCGAGACTCCGGTCCTGCCGCGCATGCGTGAGAGGCCTTCTACGGCCACCTCCTTGTCGCCGCACGGGTCTTCCCCCCTCCCTCTCCTTCCCTGTCTTGCTCCGCCCCCTTGAGACCCATTGGCCGGCTCGTCCGCGGAGCGATTGGCTAACTCCGGTCTTTACGCCCGCCTTTCGGGAAACCGGACCAATCGGGAAAGCGGAATAAGCGGGGCTGGGGTGGGAAGAGCCTACAACACGGGATTCGCTCGAGCGCCTGAGTTGTAGGTTCGAATTCTAGCCCAGCCCTTTGACCTTTTTCTCCCAAAATTATAATCCTACCATTCCAGGATATGAGGGTAGCTGGGGCTCCCACTCAGCCCTAGAGGGACCTGTTATTATTTTGCATTATTATTTGTTATGATTTTGCATTATTTGTTATTATTTTGCATTAAATCGGTTCATCGTCATTATTATTTTTAAATCCAGGCTTTGCGAACTGTTTGGAAGTGTTGCAACGTACAGTATAAATATCCTTCAAAAATTGCCACGAACGTTTGGCACGGAGCACCGTTGCTGACAAACCTAATAAGGAATCCCAGGAATTAGTTGAATTGCACATCTGTGCGGCTGAAACCTTGTAGCCAAATCTGTCCACTATCTGTGCTAAGAAATTACATAATTTGTAATCTTAATAAAAGCATTGTCGCAATTGTTGCTTTGGAATTTTATTTAATAAAAGAGAGTATCAGTATAACTCAAAATAAGTTCTGGACTAGTTTGCATCATTATAGTCCAACCTGCAGGAGGGGCATCTATGAAATGGTTCTAACTGTGTATACGGTTACAACACAGAAGGTATATGGCTAAAGTCTGCACTTATTTGTTTGAAAAACTGGGGTGTGGTTTCCAATCCACAGGTTCTCTGGCTGTAACTTCTAACACCATCACTTTAACGCAGCCCGAAACTGTCCTAATTTATATCTTAAGAAAAATGCCTGGCAAAATCCAACTGCTGTGACCTTTGGGGAGTCTTATGTTCTTTGCACTACATGCCTGATGAAGTGGGGCCTGATCCATGAAAGCTAGCAAGAGTATATGCTTTCTTTAGTGGTCTATAAAGGCCCTGCCTGTACTTGCATTTGTATTAAGTAATGACCACATGGGTCTTTCATATTTCAACGCAGGCCATTAAAACCATTGGTCTGACTAACTGGAGGCACCCTCTTAACCAATTAAATATTTTTGGCTAATTGCACTAAAGATTGCAATTCCATTGCTAGGAAGGCAGTCCACATCTTGAAGTGGGTCCTCCATTTCATCCTCTAGTTTGGGTTGATTAGTGGGTCTCCTTGCTCTTTCTTCTCCATGCCCCCCTGGGTTCATGCAGTTGCATACTCTTGATCAGAGCAATGACAGGTCAGCCTGACAGTCAATTTCCTGCTAATTTGCCCTGGCTTGGTGGTTCATGCCACCGAGGTACCTAATAGCAAAGATCCCTTTTAACTTGGAGGCTCCATCTAGAACTTTCTCTGTGCAAAGCAGGTGCTCTACAGACCTGGGGAAAGTTCCGCTTTTTTTGCTGTAGGACTCCCACGATGGCTGCAAATTTGAATAAAAATGTACCTTTTCCAAGATCTTGCCTCACCAGCATACCCCTACAGTTCCTGACAAAAAAAATGGGTGGGAAACTTTAACTTTCAGGTCAGCTTCTCTGTCCAGCTGAACAGAATGACCGGTCTGTTCCTGGAATAGACCCTATCAAGCTTCAGGTGGTGGGGGGGAATGAGGTTTTTGAAAGGCATATATTTAACCATCTGAATGCAGAAAACTAGCATCTTAGGAAGAAGGCTTTAGGTCAGTTTCTTCATGGCAATTCACCCTTCCCAACTTCTCCTAGGTATAGGGAGATGATTTTCAGCTGAGAGTGTTCAAACAAAGCATCTGCAATGGTGCTTCCTAGCAAACGTTTTACCACCTGGTTTGGCTGGTGGTATAAATTGGCTGTTAGAGGTGAGAAACAGCATGGTCTGCTTCTCTTGACGGCTAGATCCCAGGAATAGAGGGAGAAAGAAAGAGCGCAAGTCAATTGAATCAATAAAGGTATGTCTGAGTCACTGGGAGGTCCTAGCATTTGTGGTGTGTTTTGTCTGCTCTAGGGTGTATCCTATCTGCAAAAGTGTCCCATTTCATGTGGATTGGGAGAAGGAAGTGATTCAGACTGTTTTTAATACAATTTGTGTCTAATACAACAATGTGTCTGGAGCAGTGGATTGTAACGGCTGCAATCTCACACAGGAAACAGTTCTTATAAGTGTTGTTATACTTTTCCTTTTGGGTTGGGCTTGTTGTGGCTGAAACAGACACACCACAAAACTTTCTGTAAACTACTAAAAAAAAAAATCTAATCCCAAACAGCCAGCCACGTTTCTAGCTTTCCTTACAACTAAATATTCATCTCTGGGAAGATGGTCGCCCCCCCACCCCCGCAGATGCACGGGTGGTACTAGCCGAATTGCCATCACAGATGAAAAATTCATCAGAACCAGTCACTGAAAAATAAAATTGTGTAGTTGTGTTTTGTAATATCAATGGCGAGTTTATACTTTCTTTGAAAACAAGGTTAGGCGTTGCTTTCGCCAGGCTTCTGTTTGAAGGGGGGGGGCTACCTTTTTTAGAAGTTTTCAGGCAGGCAGCTGTGCTAGTTTGCTTCAACGAAAGCCACAGTATGGTGGCTGGATGGTTTAGGCATCTGGCTGCAATGCCAGAGGGTGGGAGGTTGATTTCCCACTGTAGCTCCTCTGAATAGAGCCAGACTATGAAGCCTTGGGCAAGCTGCACAGTCCCAGGGCCCCCCCCCCCCCGGAGGAAGGGAATGATCAACCACCTATGTGTATTCTCTACCTAAAAAACCTTGGGAAAGGGTCACCATAACTCAGGACAGACTTGAGGGTAAATTATTCTTATTCTCCAATGATATATAATGCTCCCTGAAGCAGTGGAAGACAGTGTTTTTCCTCATCTCCGTATCTTACATTTTACTAACACTGTTTTATGGTTATTCGAAAGTCCGATTGCTAGGATCTCTCGCTGAAGAAATACTTTCCTTGGAAGAGAAATATGCTAATTACAAATAATGCAATAATTTTTTTGTGGTGTCAAATTGATTCCAACTTATGGTGACCCTCTGAGGGTTTTATAGGTGCAAAGTACTTAAAGGTGGCTTGCCAGACAATTTCTGGGACCCTCAAGCAGCTTGGCCAAATCCCTGCAAGGAGCAGGGCACTTACCTCCATCAGCCACACACATTCTAGATGGTCTTGGCTGGACTCTCTCCCAGGAGGTAAAGTGAAGATTGTGGAATTTCAGGACCCTGGCTCCAGAAGCAGGTGCTTCAATCCACTGAGTCACGCACCTCACAGGTAATTTGAGTTTGCCTTAGTATCCAGCTTGAACGCTAGTACCTATGTGATACCTCTATGTTGTAAGAAACCCACCAGGAATATGCAGAAGAGAGTTGAGCTATTAAAGCAATTTTTGTTGTTAAGTTGTGTCTGACTCTTCGTGACCCCATGGACCAGAGCACACCAGGCCCTCCTGTCTTCCATTGCCTCCCAGAGTTGGGTCCCATTCATGTTGGTCGCTTTGGTGACCCTGTCCAACCATCTCATTCTCTGTCGTCCCCTTCTCCTCTTGCCTTCACCCTTTCCCAACATCAGGGTCTTTTCCAGGGAGTCTTCTCTTAAAGCAATACACGGCCTTATCTGATCTGGTTATTCAAAGTTTCGGCAACCTTGACCTCAACCAGTCCTTCTTCCATGAATTCCTACACAGTTGACGGTCGAAGGGTGGTTTGTGATGGAGCAAATGAAGGCAACTGCTGAAACTTTGCGGCGAGAAAATAGGGATTTGCTCCTGAAGCTTCGTGCCACCGAAGAAGGCTTGCGATCTGTGTCCCAAGAAAAAGATAATCTGATGATCCTGGTTCAGGAACTCAAGAACGAGAGGGATATCACGAACGACAACATGATTCGTCTTTCCAGGACCATTGAGAAGACAGTTGCGGCTGTAAGTTCCTCCCTTAAAAATAATAATAACAACCTGACTTAATGTGAATAATGATGTCAACTTTCCTTTTAACCCAGCTTAATCTTTCTCTATTCGTATGTTTTAAAGAATTTGGAGCTACAGGAACACGTCAGAGCGACAGCTAGGTTTTCTAAAGGATGTCGTGAAATTCTACAGGAATCGAGAAGAGCAACTTTTGATAAATCCACCCAATACAGGCTGGGCCCAACAACAGATGAGATGAAACGCAAAGTAAGATGACACCGGGATAATGCACAGTAGTGTTGGGTAATGTTTGTTTCGAAATGATCCATCCTTGACTTTCCATGACAAGAGTGTTTTCTGAAAGGTTTGGTGCCTTCTTACTGAGCAGTTCTGGAAGAAAGCTGCCTCTTTCCTGGAGCAAAGTGTTTCATTGTCAAATTCTCTCTTTTTTTGGTGGCTTGATTTTCTATTCAATATTCCCGTTTTGGGTGATTGCGTTGTTTCCAGACCAAGTTGGTTGAATGAATTTTAACTGCAGTGGGAACTAAATTAAAAAATAGAAATGTCCCCTCCCCTTTTTTATTTTTTATTTTTGGACTTATAACCAGAACAGTAGCAGAAAAATAGTGTTCAGAGAGTTGGCGATGTTAGTCTGTATCAGTAACTGTGACAAGAGTGTTGTAGCACATGGAGGACTGACATACGGTTTCCAGGGTGAATATCTGTGGGTTGCTTTCTTTTCCTTGCAGCCCTTCAACATTAACTTTTTCAAGTAACTTAGTCAGGATCCCATCCATTGAGTTTACTTTTCCTGGATCTTTACCCTTGTTTCTGTACTTTGTTTTCCAGCTTCTCTGCAAGGCTGCAATGTTGCTTTGTCTTGAATTCCAGAAGATTATTCAGGATTCAGTTCAAACCAAGATAGTACAATCCCTCTTGTTGTTTTATGAGTCATGTCAGCTCCTCCAGCGCTCTCTAAGTCCATGTCTTCTGCTGGGCAGCTCCCATGTCATTGTCAAAGGCAAAGTGAAGCCCTTAATTCAGATGTGGGGAGATGGCAGCATAATTCTGGATAAAAGAACTGCAGGCTTCTGTATGTGGAGTGATCTTTGCCTCAGACGGCCAAATGTCTTGGGCGGTCCCCAGTGATTTGTTGGGTGTGAGGAGGGACATGAGGGCAAGCCTTGAGACCTTGCAACAGGAGAAAACAGAAGATGATTTCTGTTTACAAGAGGCCACAGCAGGTTTCACTGCACCTGTATTTCTGAGTGTAGAGTAGATGGGATTTTAACAACATAAATAACCTTGTCCAGGGGATGAAACTGGGAAGGGAAGAGAGAAAGTTTTCTTTGCCTTCTCCTCTCAATAACTGCACTTGTGGGTTGGATGTATGTTGTCAAACGTGGAGCAAAGCCATTGATTTCAATGCGTTTTACTATGTCTGGGACAAACTTGCAATGAGGAAGTTGACTTTGTTGATGTTTGTTTTTTCTGTGCATTTCTCCCCCTCCCCTCCCCCTGTTGCTCTCTCTAGTTGGAGCAATTAGCTATTGAACTCGGCCAGCAAGTGGGCGAGAAAGAGCGCTTGTTAGCAGAAAACAAAGAGAAGACGGAGAGCCTGCAGAAAGCCATGAGGAAGTCTGCGCGCCTTAAGAGGATAATGGACAATTGCTGGAATACGGTGATGAGCCTAAGAATGGAAAACGACCGCCTTCGATGCTCACTGGTGTTAATCACAGAGAAGGTACTTGAGACTTATTCAACCCTTTGCTGCTGGAAATTTATTGACTCTTAATGCAGGAGACTTTTGACGTTATCTGGAAGGGCAACCCTGTGCCAACGGTTGCCTTCTAGAGACGATGTGGGACTCCAGTCCTCAGCAGCTCCATGAATGATAAGGAAAGACGGCCAAAGAACTTCATCAACACCTGAAAAGGCCTCAGGTTCCCCATGCCCTGATTTCTTTAGAGCAGTGGTTACCCAACCTTGAGACCTCAGATGTTCTCGGACTACAAATCCCAGAAACCCTGCCCGGCACAGCTAATGGTGAAGGCTTCTGGGAGTTTTAGTCCAAGGACCCATGGATTACCCAAGGTTGGGGACCACTGCTCTACATCAATGTTTTCCAGACATTTGTCGTTTCGACAGGTGGCATTAAGTCTCTCTCGATAAAGGAACAACCTCAACAGGTCTTATAAACTCAGCGTTTTGCCTTCCTTTGGCCCTGTTCAGTCTTTCTCCTTTCCCCGCTGCCTTCAACTTTTCTCTCCACTTTCTGCCCCAGCCGGGGACTCTTCTTCTTTCCCCCTTACGTTTCCAGATAGCCTCCGTCTCGTCATTTTCTGCCTCATCAGAGAGTTGGAAAGAGTTCTAATTCATGAACAACATGGAGGGAACCAACTTCATGTGCTCAGGGTTAGTATGTTTAGAAGAGATTGCCAACAGTAAAGGATGATTATATACCTTGTGTTTTACCCAGGGCTAGAAATCCTATCTTTTGGGATTGAATTTCCACAGTACCCCAGTCAGAATATTTCCTTCCCTTTGCCCTTGTCTTGATGGCAAATCGGTGAGTTGTTATCAGACTGAGAGAAAATATCTCCCAGTGAGTTCCTTGATTCAATGGGAAATAAAAAGTTGATCTCCTAAGTCCAAAGCTAGCGGTATAATGACTGTAACATATTGGCACTCTTACTTTGGTGATTTTTTTAAAAAAGATGTGCACTAAGCAGATAAGGAAAAAAAAAGTAAGACTGAACACATGAGGAACGGGCATGGAAATGAACAAGCTACCCTTGATGGCGAATATTTGTTACTTGCCACCAAATCTATTGTCTCGTTTTTCAGGAGGTGATGAACAAACTCTCAATCATGGAGAAGAAGAAAGACTATATTGCCAGTGTGACTTGTCACCTGAAGGGTGAACGGGAGAGACTGAAAGCGGTTGTAACCAAAGGGCTTGCGCGGGTCTCGCACAGCCACGCCGCCCAAATCCGGAAGCTTCAGAAACAGTACGAACAAGCCAGCAAAGATCTTTGCTGTCTATTGGATGACATTAAGGTATGGGGGTCAGTGGCTTCTGTTGTATGGTTTTGTTAAACACAACTAGAGCGGACTTCCACAATGAACAATATGATTTTTTTCGCCCAGTGAGGATCATAAAACTAGTGGCTGTAAGTCGAACCCTAATTTCCCATTGGGCTCAAGGTTAAAATAAAGGTGCAGTTCCTGGATAATTCTCATGTTTGCGTTCCATCCTTCTCTCCACTTCCTCCTGATATTAATCAAAAGCTAAATAAAGCTAAATGTGTGATGTGGCTGTAAAAAAGGCAAACACTGTTTTAGGATGCGTTAACAGAAGTACAGTATAGTCTCCAAATCCTGCAAGGTGCTAGTCCCCCTCTATTTAGCACTGGTTAAGCTTCATTGTGAGTATTGGTCCAGTTCTGGATACCACACTTTAAGAAGGATGCCAACAAATTAGAGAAAGCTCAGAGGAGGGCAACAAGGATGATCAGGGGCCTGGAAACCAAGCCCTGGGAGGAAAGACTGAAAAAACTGGGCATGTTTAGCCTTGAGAAAAGAAGCCTGAGGGGAGATGGGAGAGCACTTTGCAAAGAGTCCTATAGAGCAGTGGTCCCCAACCTTGGGCCTCCAAATGTTCTTGGACTCCAACTCCCAGAAATCGTGGCCAGCAGAGGTGGTGGTGAAGGCTTCTGGGGGTTATAGTCCAAAAACATCTGGAGGCCCAAGGTTGGGGACCACTGCTATAGAGGAGGGGCAGGATCTATCCTTGATCACCCCAGAAAGCAGGACACACAACAATGGGCTCAAATTACAGGAAGCCAGATGTAGGCTGAATATCAGGAAAAACTTAACTGTTAGAGCAGTATGACAATGGGACTCATGACCTTGGGAGGAGGTGGTGAGCACTCCAGCGCTAGAGGCAGGTCTGCTTTGATCTGGATTCCTGCCTTGAGCAGGAGTTGGACTCCATGGCCTTAGAGGACCCTTCCAACTCCCTTAGGCTATGACTCTTCTGCCATCTGTCTTTTGCTCCCTTGCTGGCTCCTTCTGTATCTCCCTCTTCTGTGTTGTCCTCTCTCGTTTCTGTCTTCCTTTGACCTGGCACTATAAAGTTGCCAAAGAAGAGCCTGGGGAATATTCATGGACCGCCTTTCCTTTTCAACAGTACTATTTCTTCAGCTGGTTCAAGGAGTACAATGACTATTACATGAGCATCTCCCGGAACACGATGGATCTGCTGGAGGAGAATATAAAACAGCTGAAGGTGGTCGTGCAGATCCAAAACCTGAAGAAGGTGGACCAAAATGGGGATGAGTTTGAAGAGATGACAATCCCTGCCCTGAGAGAGAAACTGGATGTCTTCTTAGAGGTAGCCCTTCAGAATGTTCTGCCCAGAGCGAGAGGGGCTAGAAATAGTTGCCCCAAAGCTGATACTTCTTCCTCCTATCTTGTCATTCAAGCAAAAGCTTGGTAATATAAGTGGAAACCCTTGGGAGGTGTGGAGTTTTATTTTACTTTCATATTGCCCCGAGGGCTCCAGTTCTTGCCTGGCTTCAGAAGCTGGTCAGGGCTTGGATGGGAGACCTTTTGGAGATTATGGGTTGCAGTCTTGGGCAAGAGCTGCGGCTTTACATGCAGAAGGTTAGGTTCAACCCTTGCCATTTCTAGGGAAGAGTTAGGAAGGGCAGCTGCTGAAACCGCCAGTTAAGAATTGACTGTGCTAGCCTAGACAGACTGACTCAATACCCAGCAGTGTCCCACAATCTCACGGCATAACACACATCGCTACTGCTAGAGTGCCATGTGGCGAAAGTGAGACCAGTCAAGTGGGGAATTCCCAGGCAAACAGTGACATACTCCTGATCGTTCAGGACTTCTGATTATTTTCCTTGCAATGATTTCCGTTTGCCACTTTAGAAGAAGTAAGTGCGAAGATGTCCCTATATTCAATTGTGCTTCAGCCTCAGAAGGGTGACTCTCGAGACAAGGAGTCTGATATCAAACTCAGAATAAGTGATGGAAATCTTAATGCAGAGATTTTATGGTACAGACGAGGTGAGCAGGGAGTAAGGAAGGTGATTGTGTAGCTGGTTGTACACATACACACTGTCCCCTTCCCCTTCCCTAACCTAGCCCCTGCCTGGTGTCTTAAGACTACAAACCCCACCATCCCCAGTCAGCAGGTTGCTTGTATGTGGGCGATGGGAACTGTGGTCCATCCCACCTGCAGGGCAACAGAATGGGAGGGAGAGCACTTCTGCCGTCTTTTGTGAAGCAAGGGTTTGTGAAGAACAACTGAAACTATAATGCTCAATTGGGGGGGGGGGTTCAGTTTTTTCACAAAATGGATGTGTCTTCTGGTGCAGGGTATTTTGGAAGAAGTTTCTGCGTTGGAGGAAGAACTCCTCGCAATAGAAGCCAAGGTGCAGGAACTGGAAAACAGCCATGAAGAAAGGAAACAATACGTAGAAAAGTGCAGCGCCTCTTTCTCCATGCAAGAATTTGAGAAAGGAATTGGCTCCGACACGGAGACGCTCCGACATATTTTAGATACCCTGAAACCAATCTCTCAGGTGAAGCATTCATTAAACGGAGCTTTCTTGACATTGCACTTGTTACGTTTGCCGCAGTGTCCGCGAGAGTCGCCGAAAACGTCAGTAACACTAGCAGCTTTGGTGAAATCCATCAAAGCAACTGGTTTCTATTCTGAAATTTGGGCTTCGAGCACATGCAGTGGTATCAAGAGAGGACCTGACTGTCCCTTGGCTTATATGTGCACAATCTGTTTTGTTAAGAATCCAAGCGGGAATTTTAACCCATGCCAAACGTCTAGCTTTTTGGCAGCTCTGGTGTCAGGGAGGCAGTCATGTTAGTTTCTTGCAACAAGAACTAGAAGATGCCTTGAGATACCTTAAAAGTGAAGAGATTTTATGTAGCCTAAGCTGTTGTGAATCACAGCCTCTTTCTTTAAAGGGCCACAATCCTCCTGTATGGTTGTTTTTGCACACAAAAAAAGGGGGGGGCACTTGCATGCATGACTCTTGATGGGTTACTTTCTTGATAGGTTAAGCATAGCCTTGATTGCGCGTAAGTATAAATCCCTGGGGATTTAGCCTTTGGAATCTGAAATCCCGTGATTTCAGGATTTCCTTTGCGAATCAGCGGCCCTGTTCGGAAAGGAAGCTCCTGCTGACACCTGCCAGCAACCGGTTGCAAAACAAAACAAGCTTTGGATGTTCAAAACTGGAACTAAAAAATAAACTCTCTCTGTGACTGTCATTTCCAGCTTCTAACACAGTTTACCTCTTCCGTGTAATTCGGCTTTGATTGGAGGGGTTTTCTCAGTGGCTGCTCCCAGGCTGTGCAAGGCAGATCCCCCTCCCCATTATTCCCCCTTCCCAAGTGAGGGTCTAAAAAGGGATCTTATAGCTTTGTTTTTACTTGGTAACGGTGATTAAGGTAGAACTGGAGAGAGAATGGCCCCCTTTTGATGCCTTTCCTTCGTGAAGCAAGCGTGTCGTTTGATGGCACCAGCTACTTTCCACGTGTGTTGCAGGCTCTCAGCCGGGCTAGAAAAAAGGTGGTGCTCAGGCACGCCTTTTACAGCAAAGAGTCTGAAGTGACAATGAAGACATCCAGAGAGAAATCCAAGCAATGGCTTCACAAACTGGCGGTGCTCCAGGAACTGCGTGCCGCCTCGCCAGCTACTGCCCGGGAACTGGAAGAAGCCATGAAATTAGAACAGAACTTGACCGCAGTGGAACGGGTGATGGTGGTATGATTTCTTCCTTGCTTGGGTTCCCCCCAGGATTTAAGGGAAGGGCTGGACGTGTGGATTGAGGGGGACCCTTGCAGGTCTAAGAGGCTGATGGTGGGACCGGTACTTGTCCTGGTTTTAATCTGTGATATTTACAGTGGGGTCTCTACTTAAGAACGTCTCTACTTAAGAACAATCCAACTTAAGAACAGCTCCATTTGCTAAATTTTGCTTCTACTTGAGAACAGAAATCCAAGATAAGAACAGGAAAAAAAACCTTTCCTGCTCTTTTTTTAACCTTAGGTCATCTTAGGTTAAAAAAATTTCTCCCCCTAGTGGCAGAGTACGTATTAACCAGCTTTGCATTAGTTCCTATGGGAACTAATGCTTCAATGTACGAACGCACCTCTACATAACAAAAAAACAGCCAGAACGGATTAATTGGTTTTCAGTCCATTCCTATGGGAAATTTTGCTTCAACTTAAGAACGTTTCAACTTAAGAACACCATTCCAAAACCGATTAAGTTCTTAAGTAGAGGTTCCACTGTAGTTTCTATGGACGGAAAAGAGCAGATACGGATTAAATGGTTTTCAATGCATTCCTATGGGAAATGCAGATTCAACATAAGAACTTTTCAACTTGAGAACCACCTTCCAATACAGATTAAGTTCTTAAGTAGAGACCCCACTGTATCTGCTAGGATTTGGAAAGACTAAGTATCTAAATCAATGTTGAGTCTGTCTGCCCCTTGTGTCTAGGCCCAGTTAGATGAAGCAGCCGCTCTGGAGAAGGAAGAACCAGAGACAATCACGCTTCAACCTGCTAAAGATGATGTGGCGTAAGGGCCAGTGAAACGGAAGAACACAAGGGATACTTCTGTTCCAAAGACTTCCATTGATCAGCACCACGTTTTTAACAATACTACTGTTTTTTTAACTTGCTGTATATGCACAACGAAATAAAGCTAGCTAGTTCTACTCACTGGAAGCACCAGATAATAAAACTGCTCACTGAGTTCACTCAGATGCTTTTGTGTTTTTCAAATACAAGTTTATTCCTATTATCACCAGTGGAGAAGGGGGAGCAGAAACGTCCGATGGAGCAGCTGTGTTAGATCGGCTGCAGCATAACAATAGTTTCCTGACACCTTAAAGAGTAATGAGTGTAATTTGGCTGTGCTCTTGTGAGCAGCAGTCCACAATTAAAACCTGTTCGCCTTTCAACGACCACATGACTCTTGGCTTTTGACTTTCCCTCAAGGGAGAGTATGGCTTTGAATCCTTGCTTTATGATTTCTTGTTGTTTTCGAGCTGCTAGGAACGGAGCGACTGAACAACAATTCATGGTTAAAGTTAATCTTGAAGCAGTGTCTCGGTTTAAAGGTGGAAAAAGCCACAAGGGTCTCTTCACGAAGAGCCCCAAAGGACCAGAAGCTCAATTTTTTAAATATGCAAGACTTTTTCCAGATATTTCTACTCCACGCCTCACCACAGCCAATACTTCCGGTACTTGGTGACCAACAAAGGATGGATGTTTATAGAACTGTACATGCCACTTTTTGGGGTACAGAGGCAGTACACAAAAATTAAAAAGGATTTCATTACAACAATTATTTTAATTTCACTTCACTGGGAAGACCGAGCAGGTGGTCTGTGTGCCCACGTAGCTCCTCAAACGGAAGCCTGTCTTGTGTGAAGGTGGAAATTTAGCCATCTCGTCCTCCACTTTTAAACTGAAGCTATGTTGGAAACACTGAACATATTTTTTTGTCTTAATTAGTTCTAGTACTTAGCTCATCAGATGCTTTTGGCTATTTAAGCCCTTTTATTGGTTGGAAACTGAATTATTCAACTTGCTTAGTCAATACTATTAAAGGGGTGCTTGAGAGTGCCTTCCATCGCCCCTCCCCAGCCGTGCCTGTCTTCTCCTTTATGCAGCTGAAAAAATGTGGGCTCCTATGAAGCTTGCCCCCATTAAATGGTTTGTACCATTTAATGTCTTCTGACCTAGAAGCCTCTGTGCTGCAAGGTCAGAAGACCAGCAGACGTAAGATCGAATCCACGCAACGGAGTGAGCTCCCGTTGCTTGTCCCAGCTCCTGCCAACCTAGCCATTCGAAGGCATGTAAAAATTTGAGTAGATAAATAGGGACCACCTCGGTGGGAAGGTCACAGCGTTCCGTGTCTAGCCGCGCTGGCCACGTGACCACAGAAACTGTCTACGGACAAATGCTGGCTCTACAGCTTGGCGACGGGGATGAACACCGTGCCCTAGAGTCAAACACGACTGGACTCAATGTCAAGGGGAACCTTTACTTTTACTACCAGAAAACATGTCATCTGCTTCACCCATGAGAAAAGCAGGCTTTCTTGTTTGGTTTGAGCCTTTTGTTTTCCTCCTCGTAAACACAGCATCATCCTGTGTGACACAGGAAGCCTGTAATCACTTGAGCTATTTCCTTGACAGGATAATGGAAGCCTAGCCCTGCTCGCTTGCTTTGTAACTCCCACAGCCTTCCACGCCGGAGACTCCTCTGTTGCCATCTGCACCTTTAGCTTGTCAGCATAAGCATCTCCCGATACTGTGCAATGTCATTGATCCATGTGGGCTTTTCCTAGCTGGAGGAAACTCTCATCCTTTAAATGAATGAAGACATGGAGGCATGCAGGGTTGATTTGAGAACGTCCAGCCCAACCCTGTCCATCTTTAAGTAAACAGCAACAAGTTCAATGGTACTTCCGCCCACGTCAAATATGTGCAGAATCTCAACAGAAGTTCAGCAAGTGCCTCTGGGGGTAGTTTTACAATAACAGCACCACCAGTTTTGCAAGACGTGGATGATGGATAGCGATCTGGTTCACTTCCAAAACAACATAGATGGTTCTAGCCCCATATTATCCAGCTTTGCTTAACTACCTAAACCTAGTTGTTATCTCCACAAGCATGAATGTCTAAAGACTGTAGCTCGGTGGTTGAGGTCTCTGGCTGTAGAGCCGGAGATTGAAGAGTTCAATCGCCCGCTGTGCCTCCAGGGAGAAGAGCCAGCCTGGGTAGCCTTGGGCAAGCTGCACGGTTTCAGGGCAACCCCGGAAGAAGGGAATGGGAAACCACGTGAGTCAGAACTGACTTGATGGCATGCAATTATTAGCTTTAAGAATCCTCACAGACAGTTTCATTGGGCCAAATAAGTTGTTGGGAGGAACAGAAATGCCTAAGGAGCTATTTATCAGCAGAGGTGATGCTTAGACTTGCTATAGAAAAAGATGTGTCGAGACATATACTGTAGGATCTGTAAGCAAAGATGTTACTGCCTACCACTACACAAGACATGGGACTTCCTCAGTCTTCATGAAAACAATTCCTGCATGTTGAAAGAGTGATCTAGTCCTTCACCACCACCCCCAAATAGCTCAGAAAGGCTGGAATCCCTACAGGAGCTGGTTTGTGGACAGCACAGAGGGCTATAAAGGGGATAGGAAGGGAAGGAAATTTCTCTACAGTCACTGGTGTAGCACTGGACCCAGCCCAAGAGAGCTGCAAGCCAGGCTTCAGAGAAAAAAGAAGCCCGTTCCCTAGATGTTATTTAAAAAGCCGCAGAAGACCTCCTGGTGTGCAAAAGTTTATCCTCTTTCTAACCTCCTGTCAGGAAGATGGAACAGTGGTGCCACGTTGGTATTTCATAACTTGGTAAATAAGCCCTCTTGGGCAATGTGTGCGCAAGAACTTCATGAGGTGTTTCTGTCTGGGCTGGAGCATGTGATCCATTATTTCATTACCCTCTTTGCGTTCCTAAAGGCAAGCCAGCCTGTTTATGGATGGTTGAACAAAACCTGGCTGCAATTGCGTTGCAGAGACCAGAACCTTCTCTTTGAAACCTGAGGCTTGACTGTCCGGGCACTTAAAATCATTTGCCGTTACAGAAGTGCAACGACACACGGTTCACGTACACGGCAGCATTTACATTCCGGCCAAACACAAAGCAAAACTTTCAAAACTTACCCATTGTTTAACTTGGTTGGGAAGAGAGCTGTCTGTTCTGTTGCAGCTGGTGCAGGATCCCCCCCCCCACTTCACAGCCACACTGGAGAGTGACAAAACTCTCATGAGAATTCAACCCCTTAATGTTCTACCAGGAGCTCTGAAAATTATACAAGTCATCCCTTCGGCCAGGCCCTCGGGCGGCGTAAATGTTTGGCACCACTGCCAGGAACCTTTAGCAATTCGACTAAGTTCACTGCAATATAATTCCCCAGCTTCGCAGGCATACAGAGAGGTGAACTACAACACTCAGAGTCGGGGGGGGGGGCAAAGGTTTAATTCTCCAAAACATTCCGTACACAGCTCAAAGTGCATTAGCTCTTTAAAAAACATGGTTGGATGAGACCGAACGAACTAAAATACAGTAGAAACCGGGCCCGGGGAGGGGAAACCAGAGGACACCTTCCCCATAACTAGACAGAGAATATCTACTAGAGGGTGTCAGGTGAACAATAACTTATTTCCATGGACAAGTCATGTAAAAGTAGTAGTATACAACCTGGAGAAATAAATCCTTGTGTCTTGCAAAAAAAAAAGAAAAAGAAAAAAGTTCCAAGCACATATTTAAATTACACATACGTTGACAGAGGCTTTATCTTCGTTGCTATACATAATCAAGTCAATAGAACCAAATAAGGGAATGTTTAGTCTTCATCCCCCTCCAGCAGGGCAGATTCTGTACCAAGGTCTTCTTTGCTGAAACTGATCAAAGGGAGCATCAGCATGTCGGACTGAGGCCATTGTGCTTCCCAGGAATGGGCACCAGAGCTGCATACAAGCCCTGTGTCCCACACTGGTGAAGGATGTATGAACGGACTAGTTCCCTGTGTAAACATGATACTGCCTGGTGGTTGCTGTTTTAAAGCTTTCACGGTCAGCATGGTATGATGTTCCAACCATCCTGGTGTTTATCTGCATATAAAGTCATTTAACACTAAGTGCAATACTTACAGGCATGGCGTAGATAAATAAACATTGTAGACAGGACTGCTGGCTCTTATGGTGATCAAACCACAGATGTGAACATGAATTGAAAAACAATAAAGTATTACTTTAATCATATTTTTTTTGTACAGGCGGCGTAAGGATAAAAGTTTCTCTCGATGCATTTCACCAAAGAATGCAGAACGGTCTGTAACGGCAGCACCTCCAAGTGCTTGAGTCTTTTCAGTTAAACATGGTTAGAACATTGCTTTTTTTTGCTTTCTTTTGTTAAAAAGGTACTGTAAATCACTGAATCATTTTTTGCTGTAGCATCTTAATGAGCCAAATGGGGAGTCAAAGGCAGTCCACATTCATGATGTGAATCTATCATAACAGTTAAAAAAAGAAGACTCTTGACATCCAATTAAATTATCACTCATGTTCTCAGGATAACCATGGTGATGAGACCTAAAAGAATTAAGGAAAACATCAATTGTTGTTTTAGTTTAACATGAAAAGTTACCCACATTATTAAGCTCAGAAAGAGACAGTTGCAGAAGCTGTTTGCAACAACCTATATTCGTTTTAACTGGAAATTTCATAACATAGTTTAACTTTGGAAGCTTAACTGTACACCGGCACCATAACTTGGAAAAATCCCTTTTTTATCAGAATCCAGCTTCAGAACCAGACGTTAGCATGGCCATTGCCCCTGACAGCAGCGCAATTTGGGGAGCTGCCATTCCAAACAAGTAACTATTCCTGGGCAAGAACCAATCAATCGAGACGGATCTTTAAAAATGTTCTAATAGGTGCATTCTGCTGACAGTGGCATTGTGCAACTAATTCACTGTCATATGATTTTACCGTTTTGCCCTGCCCCATTAAAACAGGAATGCTGTGCAAGTTTCATAACGGGCTATTAAAAATAAAAACAAAGGATGCGTACCTAATACATAAGCAGCTACTAACTTTTGATTTACACTTAAATGGAGGTAGAGAGGCACCAGGGAATCCACTTCTCCTAAGGTGGGAAGCATGAGAGCCGCAATGCACACGATTCCCAGGAAGACTGTGAGTAAACTTGGCCCCGATGAGGCAATTCTGTTATCTTGTGGGGAGGAAAGGAAAAACATTCAGCATTGAAGAACAGTGTCATATTCCAGCTTCTGTTGGCTTTTTCTTGCCATCGTAAATACACAACCGCTTGCACACACTGTAAGGCTCAACTCTCCCAGAACCTTCTCTGTCTCCACCTGCTGCTCCCGCCCCACAACCAAGAATGCCTAGGAGAGCCTCTGCTGAAGATTTTGAACAACAGGGTGGTTTTAAAGAGGGCACGGCTGTGTCTTGGACATGCTACACTTGAATTCTATATGCTTTGAAAGGTTGCACCAGCGTCTTGACTACAATAGAAACAAGCTGAAAGCCAGTGAAGCTGGTTGGCCCTCACACCTACCGGTCCACAAGCATGAAGTGCTGAACTTCAAGAAAACACTGTTGTGCAGGCTAGTGGTACACTAGTTCAATTGCAGAACTGCAGCCAAAACTCTGCTCACGACCTGACTTCAGTCCCAGGTAGCCAGCTGAACGTTGACTCTGCCTTCCACTCTTTCGAGGTCAGTAAACTGAGTACTTGGCTTGCTTGGCGGGGGCAATGTGTAGCCTGCACAATTAAATTGTAAACTGTCCAGAGAGTCCTTTAAGAGCTATGGGGCCGTATATAAGCAACACACTTTGATTTTTTATTTTTTTATTTTTGCTTTTACAGATAGGATCGGCTTGCGACTCCCAGAAGTGAAGCATGTAAAGTGACGGTTCACCCACGTAAACACCCACACCCACCCTTCATCACAAAGACTAACCTTTTGCTAGGTACTCCTAAGAACCTTAAACAGAGCACCTGTTCTTGACAAAAGCTTTGTGGTGATGAACGTGAGATGACTCAGAAGAAGGGTGAGGTCTTGAGAATGAATGCAACCCCCCGCAAGACACCCACGTACATATAGAGTTTTCCCATTCCAAAAGCTTGAAATCCCTCTCGTAGGGCTGAATGATGGGCAGCAGAGTTCTAGATGCTGGCATTCTTAAAGTTGCAAGCTTGTTCTTGGGCCCTGCCAACCACTGCAACATGCTCCCCTCCGAGGATTTTGTTGAAAGTGAATTTGGTCCTTGGGCTGAAAGAGGGACCCCCTTCACTCCACAGAATATATAAAACCAAGGAGTTGAGCCTGCGTGTTCTCTGGTGCTCTGGACTTACCTGGCTGACACAACGTCTGCTCAAAAAAGACACTTTCCGTCAAGTGCTCCTTGATCCTTTTCTCCTCCTCTTCCTTCTGGTGCTGCTCTTTTGCAGTGGGAAGCAGCGTGGCGATGACTTCCTTCCTTCCCAACGCTTTCCTCTGGCTCTGCTCAGAGACCTGGAGGCGGAACTTGTCTATCACGCCATAGTGGCAAGGTCGGACGTCTCTGTGCCGAATCACTCTGGAAGAGAAGCAAAGCCTTCGGATTGCCCATGTGGACCGGCACAGAAACAGAAAACATCTACCGGAGACAACTGCACCGTAAAAATCAAAGGCAGCAGGAGGAACAAGCAGCTGGCCCTCCCCCATCTCACTCCTGCTCTATGGCCTTGTTCACTCATAGATTACAGGTGGCCACTCCAAGGGAGGCCTGGAAGTCGTCAACTAGAAACCGGGCCTTCTCAGGAGTGGCTGCCTCACTCTGGAATTCTTTTCCAGTGGAAGAGCGCCAGGCCCCAGCTTCCTTTGCATCAGGAAGCAGATTGAAATCTGGGTCTTCTCCCAGGTCTTTTGAAAGCCACCTTAACCGAATTCTAAGGTCATTTTGTGACCGCTTTAGGTTGAAAATCTACTGTTTAGTATCAGATCAAATGTTCTCAGTTCTGCTTTCTTGTGAATATTTTGACATTAGTTAGACACTAGGCTTTTGTTTTTGTATGCTTATTGTTATTTTTGTGCACTTGTGTTTGTTTGTTTATTTTGTGGCTGCCCAGACTACTGGCCTGCCATTAAATGGGTGGAGGGAGGGATAGGCTGCACTGAGCTTCGGGGCAAATGGGGCAATTATACTGGGTTTTGCTTGAGAGTAACCACAGTTTATCGTGACACCTAACCCTGAGCAAACTGGTTCATAAGCACAGAACCAAGGTGAGATTGCTACACTTTTATCCCAGTTTTTGTCTGATGGAGCTACAAGGGATGCCCATGCTTCCTCCTCGCAACAGTTCTGTGAAGGTCTGCGGGGCCTCCAGTTCATGTGCATGAACTCTTAATTTAGCAAATCTTTCCAAAGCACAAGGGAAGTTGTGTGAAATATACGGTTTTATGCTATCGCGCATGACTTAGGAAGGCGTCTCAGGAAGGACCAGAATTATCCAAGGATTCTGCATGCAGAACGCTGGGCGTTGCAGCCAAGGGGAAACAAATCTACCCCTAGGTTTCTCTCCCCTAGAGAAAGGCTTGTGGGTTATTTACCTTCAAGACCACCACACTCCCACCCCTGACTTCCCCAATTTTTCCCCTCTGTTCTTACCATAGGAAAAAGAAAGCTGCTGCAGTACTTGGGAGTTGCAGTTCTTTGAGAGGCACCCTTTATACAACCTCTGGGGCACAGAGGATGCTGTGAGTTGTATTCTCAGTGCCATTAGGTTCTATAAAGGGCGAATGGAAAACTACAACTCCCAGGCACAACCAAAACAGCTTTCTTTCTTTTTCAAGTAACAACAGAAGGCAGAGGATAGAAAAGCAGATCATGGGGTCATGTCAGAAGTAAAAAACTTGAAAGCCTTTCTTTAGAGAGATGAAATCCAGAGGTGTGCAGATTTGTGGTGTGTGCTGCAACTCTCAGAATTCTAGCTGCTAAGCATTTGAATTGGGAAAATGCCTTAGTGATGCATGTTAGCTGAGGATTCTGGGTACTACCGTCTTAAGAGAGCAACCTTTTCAAATACAGTGGTGCCCCGCTTGACGATTACCCTGCTCCATGACGAATCCACTTTACGATGAGGTTTTGCGATTGCAAAACAATGTTTAAATGGGGAAAATTTGCTTTACAACGATCAATTCCCTGCTTAGGGAACCGATTCTTCGCTAAAGGACTATTTTAAAACAGCTGATCGGCATCTCTCAAGGACTATTTTAAAAGAGCTGATCGGCATCTCTCAAAATGGCTCCCCGCTATGTTTAAGATGGATTCCTTGCTTAACAAGCACCGGAAAATGGCCGCCCTATGGAGGATCTTCGCTGCACGATGAGGTATTTCACCCATTGGAATGCATTGAACCGGTTTTCAATGCATTTCAATGGTTTTTTTAACTTTCGCTTGACAACTTTTTCGTTCTACAACGATTTTGCTGGAACGGATTATCATTGTCAAGCAAGGCACCACTGTACTGCTATTCACGAGGCATAAAGAAAAAACTATTTTTACTCACATATCAACACAGCACTGAGGTTTCACTGCACCCGCAGCATCCACAACAACATATTTATTTGGAGTTGTACAAAGAACTGAAATGGAAGAGACCACAAGGTGTCAGTTTACACATAGCTATAACAAACACAGGTCATTATTACTTTACTTGCCATTTCTCTGCATTCTAAAAATTAGGATTAACACAATTCAATCCCTAATGCGGGCCTTAAATGGAGCAGTACTTGAGACCCACCTTTGAACTTTAAGGCAAATTCATAAGGATTGTACAGAGTCAATACTCGCTTGTGCGTTGACTGGTCATCGGCATAAAATATAAGCTCAGTGGGAAACACGAAGACCGGAAGATTTCCTTCCACTAACTCTGGCTGTCTTTTTTGTTGCTGCATTGGCACCGAGTCTTCCTTGGTACTCCTTCTGCTTTTAGGATGGCTGAGTCTGCAGACACTTATGGTTCACAGTAATTTAAGAATCGGAAAGCATCTTGGCAAACCTGAAGAGAGAAAGAGGGAGAACACACACACACAGAGAGCATATGTAACTCTGTTAGTTTGCACATGTTTGTAAACAATTGTAGAGTAATATATGTAAATGAAATTAATCATTTGCCTAAAAGCTTCTTTAGAGTCTAAGTCACCTTAAGTCTTTCAATTAGCCCAATTCTTTTTGGCTTCCATGTGTGACAGAAAGGCTTTTTGAGAGAGAAGGACTTCCACTTGGGTAGACCCCCTAATGACAGTCTTTAAAGGACATACTCTGTCTTTTGTAGACATATTATCAATGCAAGAAGGGGGAGTAGGAACAAAATACTTCCTCATTGCTCTTATTTGAAGTCTGATCATAACAGCATTTCAGGCTGCAAAATACAGCATGTTAAACACAAGCAGAATAGGTAATACATATTTTATTAGTACAAAATGAAAGAGGTATCTTATTTTTTTCCACATTGGTCTGACTTCAACAGAAGTCATAACCTCATATCAGAATATAATTCTCCCATGTGCAGCCTCTTTAAGCCCTTCCAGATATCCAGTTTGTTGCTGAAATCTCGATACAACTCCAAACAAAGAACCACCTATAAGACGAACAAGGATAAAACTAAATACTGTACAGTATTCAGATGCCGAATTGAGTCTTTTAGTAATGAGGAGCACAAAACTTGTGGCTCGTAAGACTAGTGCTGACGTGTTTTCAGGATGCTATCAACATAAAATCAAGGAGGAGAAACTAACGCATCATTCTCACATGAATGGAAAGAGAGAATCTCTGCCACCTAGACGAGGTTTATGTTTAGGATGTCCATAAATTTTCTGGAAAATTCAAGAGGTAAAGGCAGTAAATGCTCAGTGTCCCTCCTCTATTCGTTGACAAAAATTCACACACATCCTCCATACGGCGGCCATTTTCGCTGCCTGGTAAGCGCGGAACCCGTCCCTAAACACAGCGGGCGGGCCATTTTTTAAATTCGGCGGCCATTTTGGACCCACCGATCAGCTGGGGGAAAATTATTGCTTTGCAATAATCGGTAAGCAAAACAGGGTACC